GCGCAAAAAAGCGACGCAGGGAGCGCTCGCTGCTGCTACGGCGGCGGCGGCGGTCGGCCAAAAGGCAGACGGCAGACGGCAGACGGCAGACGGCAGACGGCAGACGGCAGACGGCAGACGGCAACGGCTCGGCTTGGCGCGGACGCGCACGCGCGCGCGTCGCGCGCCACGCCCCACGCGTCGCTCCGCGAGGGCGCGCGCCACCACGATTCGAACCGGTGCCAAAAGGCGCCGGAGCGAACCGCGGTCCGGTCGCGCCACCGCGGCTGCGGGGTTGATAGAGCATGCCGGCATGTACCTCCGCTTTTGGGTGGAGGCATCGCGGCGCGCTCGTGGTCGTTCTCAGGGCGGCTCGCACAGAGCGCCCACACATGCACACACGCACACGCACACGCACACACACACACACACACACACACACACACATGCATGCATGCACAGACACACCACACAGCCCCTTCCCCTTCCCCCTCAAGACCTCAAGGACGAGGACACACACAGGACGCACCTTCCTCTAGCGAGGCCCGCATAGTATGTGGGAGACTCCTGCCGCCGCCCCTGCCACCCCTGTCAGTGTGCCTGTGGCAGCGAGAGACTGCCAGTGAGAAGCTGGAGGCAGGTCGCTAGACTGAGATGAGACCGCCAGTGGAGTCGGGAGTCCACCGTGCACCGCGTTGCGAGCCTGTCGTGTCCCTTGTCAGGAGCAGGAGAGCCCCACCTGTGCCCCTGATCGTCCTTCCAAAATCCTGCTCGTGCAGGTGTGGACCCTGTCCTCCTCCCCCATCCCTCGTCTGGGTTTGTCGGTTCTTTCATTCTTTCTGTTGCGTGCATCCACTCTGCTCGTGATCGCCATGGCTGGCGTGTCCGCGTTCATGTCATCGGGGACCCTCAGTCTGACGGCCGTCAAGGTCCTAGAGTCTTGGATCGAGCACACTCTCAAGCAGCGAGACGCGCCCGCTCCTCGCGGCCGCCAGCTCGGCTACATCTGCCCCAAAGGACTTTCTCCGGATGGTTGTCAAGATGCCTTCGCGGAGCTCTCGGGCCGGGGGCCCGGGGGCCAGTACGAGGAAATCACACCAGAAGGGGCTTCCACGCTCTTCAATGCCCTGATGCTGCTCGGCGACAACTCCAACCAAGACGGGTACGATGCACTAGCCCCAGCCGTGGGGGGGTGTTGCCGGCGCTGGTAGATGATCTCTCGGAGAAGAGTCGGAGGGACCTTGGCGCCGGGGTTACGAGGAACTTGCAAGTCGTGGCCGAGGCGGCGACGGGAGCGGTGCAGAGGTGGATCCAGCTCAACGATGAGGCTACCGCGCGCATATAATGAAGAGAGTGGAACACATTGAGTGGCTGAGGAAGCTCTTCGCTGGGTGGAAGGAGGCACGGCCAGCCTTGAGGGAGTCGCGGAGGAGGAGGGATAACGCAAGCAACGCAGGGACGGGCCAACAGCCAGTGGGACGAACGAGGGCCGCGACGGCGGCCCAAGCGGGAGGGAGCGGAGACAGTCGGCAGCGAGCGAAGTGGGTGAGACTGATGATGCTCCTTCGACTTAGGGAGCGGTTCAGCTGCTGGGCGGGCTTCAGGCTGGTGCTCACGCGAAAAGGAATCGACGCGATGTACAAAGCATACAACAAGAGGAGAAAGAAGAGGACGGACATCAGTGATGACGAAACAGAAGCTAGCGCAGACGAGGGCAGGGCAGACCCGGGGACGGCGGAGTCGGAGCAGACGGCATCGGCTGCCGAGGAAACGTTGGGAAGAGGCACGAGGAGGGCGGCGACCTCAACCGACTATGGAGGACCCGTCACCAGACGACGCAGGGCGGACGACGGGGAGGCGGAGCAGACGCGCAGGGCGAGACGAGGCACGAGGGAGGGAGCAGGACGTTGCGGAGATCAGCAGGAGGATGTACGACGAGATTAGGAGCAGCAGGGACCCGAGGGACCATGTGGAAGACGGCTAGTGCTAGTCCCCCATCGGGAGGACGACCCCGGCTAGTCGCCGACCACACCCACAAAGAACCCTGCACAAAGACCGCAGGGCGGGGACCTGTTCCTTTTTTAGTACCCATCTCCTAGTAGAGGTGTCCGTTTTATTTATTTATTTATTTACGTTGGTCCAAGACGCGGAGACCGGGCCATAAACGTGCTCAGCGATTTCCCCCCGGTCTCACCAATGTGTGTTTCTTCGGTGTCAAAAGTGCTCGCCTGGGTGCTCCGCCGCCCCGCTTACGGGCCGAACATCGGGGTCTGCCTCTGCCGCGGCGGCCTCGGGGTCGTGGGGCACCGCCTCCATCTGCACACCCGGCGCGCCCTGCAGCATCCGCAGGTTTTCGAAGACCTGCTGCCGCACGGTGTCGAGGTACTGCCGCGTGTTTGCGTTCTCCATGGTTGGCGATGGCGTCACCTGCGAAAGAGGGCCGGTGGGGCAACGGTCGGTCGGCCGCTAGAGTGGGCCAGAGTGGGCCACGGAGAGGAGAGGCCCAAGGGTTTGGTACTGGGCGCGCAGGGTACCTACAGGGAACCCGAATCCCAGAGCAGGGGCAGGTCGGGCGCACGGCGGGCAGTGTGCGACGGTCGGGGGGGTCGGTGCGGCGCGAGCTGGGTGCGCTGGTGTGCTGGCCGTGGGGAGGCTGCTCCGACATGCCCTGGGTCAGCATGACCGTGGCCAGAGGGCCCGCTGGGCAACACGGGCGACTACGAAGTGTGTGCCCTCCCCCCAAGGCAAAGAGCGCCGGTGCGGCCGGGGGCCCCAAGGTTCGGTCCTCTGCATGTGGGGTACGCCGGCGCCTGCAGCGAAAAGTCGGGGGCGAAGTGCTCGTAGTAGTCGTTCCACGGCAGGTCCTCGGCGAGCTCCTGTGAGGAGAGGGAGGGGGGGGGGGGGGGGGGA